ACACCCAGCAGGCAGACATGGGGCACGATTTCCAAGACGATAAATGCTTCCTTTCTTATCTTTTGATATCTGGAAGTAGAAAATTTCAAGGAAAAAGGGTTTTACACCAAGACGATCATAAATCTCATTGTGTTCACAACAGAAGGCTGACCAGAGGAGTTTATTAAATCCGTAAAGGATTTGATGTATATCAAACTGTTACATAAAGTCAATACTTTGGAGAGAAGCAGACAATAAATACTCAGCAAGAGGCGATATTTCTATCACCAAGAAGGCAACCGCATAAAGATTAGGGGAGCAATTTCAATATTGCGTGTCTCTCTGCAGTAAGGAGACACGTCTTGTTTTCCAGAAGGATCACGGGAAGAAGCCGGGGTGGGACAGGCGGCCTCTGGACTTGGCTCGTCTGGCCCTCAAGCCCAAAGCTGTGCTGCAGACTGAGTGTGGTGTCCAGGCCCCCGGCCTGACCCCTGGATGGCTGTGCTTGCAGGTGGGGCCTCTAAGGAAGGAATTCAGATTAAAGAGGGTCACAAACAACCAAAGGTGGCAGAGCAGGCTGAATGTCCCCAAACCATGCTGTTGTCAGAATAAGCAGGGTTATTACCCTTCTATGCGCTTTTCAGATTTCATCATGTTTAAGGAATGCCTTGAGTCCCCTCACGTCAATCTTATATCTTCGTAAATAGCAACGAAACCCCCATTTTGTGTCCAGAGAACCTCTGATGCTCAGAGAGGCTGAATCACGTACCCAAGACCACACAGCCGACCACTGGGGGGGCAGTGTGGACGTTCTGACCCTTCTGCTCTCCTGGATCTTGAGGTCATCCGCCTCTTTCAGCAAGATGTCTAGGCTTGGAGCTGAGCCTGCAAAGACCAATACTCTGCAAGGGAAATAGATAATTTCGTGAAACATCTAGATGTGTCGTCTGTCCCGTATTTCCCACCTCCGTCTGGCCTTTCTGTTTGTCAGGCGGCGCCTTCTCCCCGAAACCCCACGGTCAGGGTGCTGGAGGGGCCCCCAACACTGGACTGCACAACGGATCAGTGGAGAGCGAGCAGACCCCACCCCGGGGCGGGAGCTGAGCTCGGGGGTGCCACAGACACCCTCCCCAGAACGTCCGCGCCTGTCCCTGGCAGAGTGCACGCCCATCGGTCATTCACACCGCCTCCCCGCCTCCCTCTGGCGTCCAGCACAGCCCTCCCCCATCACCGCTGCCAGAACGCTGGCCTCAGAAGCAAAATCTGTGCGTGAATGCTCCACACTGTAGGCATCACTTAAAAATATTTGTACTCTCGCTTTTCAAATGGGTGCATGCAGATGCAAAGTTCTCAGAATACAAGAAGGGTCAGAGCACAGAGTGTCACTCCCACTTCAGTCTCCCCGTCATCTTGGGGTGGTCACTGCCAACAGGCCTTGCACTATTTCCAGAGAGACTCTGTGGGTTCACAATCTGACCCATATTGGACAGTTTTTGACCTAAAAATACTTGGCAATTTCATGAGGATCAACCGAATACAAGTACCTTCTCACATATTGGATCGCTATAACCTGAATCACAGCTTTTAATACCGATGGCAGGACCCACTGTCAGTCTTTCTGGTTAGGGGTCTGGTGAGGGATCAGATGAGGGATCTGGTGAGGGATCTGGTCAAGGATCTGGTTATGGATCAGGTTAGGGGTCTGGTTATGGATCAGGTTAGGGATCTAGTTAGGGGTCTGGTGAGAGATCAGTTTAGGGATCTGGCTAGGGATCTGGTTAGGGATCAGGTAGGGGATCTAGTTAGAGGTCTGGTTAGGGATCTGGTTAGGGGTCTGGTGAGGGATCAGTTTAGGGATCTGGTTAGGGATCTAGTTAGGGGCCTGGTTAGGGATCTGTTAGGGGTCTGGTGAGAGATCAGGTGAGGGATCTGGTTGGGGTCTGGTGAGGGATCAGGTGAGGGATCTGGTTAAGGAGTTGGTTAGGGATCTGGTTAGGGTTCTGGCTAGGGATCAGATTAGGGATCGGGTTAGGGATCTGGTTAGAGGTCTGGTTAGGGAGTTGGTTAGGGAATCTGGTTAGGGAGGTGGTTAGGGACACCTGTTTGCTTTCAGATTTGTTCCCTATCCTTCCTCTGCTCTTTTCTCTCTCACAGGGTGGAGTGGGCTGGGGGCTAGCTGGCCCCGCAAACAGTACATCCCAGGCTCCCTTGCCTGCTGGGTCCCATTCAGATTTGGCCACAGGCCACTTCTCACCCGTGGCTATTGGGAGGTGGGGGCACTGGGAGAGGAGGGGAGAGGTGGGTGTCCTGCAATCCAGATTCACCTCCCATCTCTGGAGTGTCTTTGGCAATGTGTGCATTTCCTCAGTGGTGTCAGGCCCCCTGGGATCTGGGGTCATGTTTGTGGCTACCGTGGGGTAACAGCTGCCCCCCACCCCCCAGTTGCCAGTCCGTGGGCCGCCTCACCTTTTCCTGTTGGTTTTCTGGTTTTTCTAATACCCGTGAGACCGTATTCCTTGTAGTAAGGATCCTGCTTTCTTTACTGGCCCTTAGCCTCGTTGGTCCTATCGAGGAGACTCTGCGTGGGCTCCTGGCTGGCTCCCAGCTGGGGTCTGATCTGCAGAATGACAGAGCCCAGACTGGAAGCTTGGAGTTTTCAGCCCCGACCCCCACTCCCCAGAGAGGGGAGAGGAGCCGGAAACAGTTCACAATCAATCAATCACACCCACTCAGGGATGCCTCCGCAAAACCACAATAGTCGGGGATTGGGGGTTCCCGGGCTGGTGAACACATCCACCGCGGGGGGGGGCAGGTGACGCACCCCAACTCCATGGGGACAAAAGCTCTCGTGCTCAGGACCCTCCCAGACCTCGCCCTGCTCACCTCTTCCTCTGGCTGCTCACCTGTGGCCTCTATCACGTCCTTTAATAAACCAGTAAATGTGAGCAAGCGTTTCCCTGAGTCCCGTAAGCCGCCATCACGAACCAACCAAACCCAAGCAGGGGGCGGTGGGACCCTCCCATCTCGGGCCTGTAGCTCAGAAGCACAGGGGGTCCTGGGCTTGCGGATATGGCATCCGGAGGGGGGGCGGTCCTGCCTGGGGGTGTCCCTGTCTCCAGGTGGACACCCGGCTGGTGTTGCCAAAGGGCTCTCTGCGGTTCCTGCCCCACACCTTTGTTGGAGGTGCTGCGAGCGCATTCCCAGGTGTGAGAGCAAGGAAACAGAGCCCGTCTGGGTCCCCCTCCCCACTTCGATGGACCCGCAGCTTCCCGGGCCCTCTGCTGACGCCCAAAGTCCGGCCCGCGCTGTGGGCCTCTTGCCTGGGGCCACCTCTCGCTTCTCCCTGGTCGGCCCCCTCTGCGCGGCGAGAACCACACAGTTAAAAACACTTGACATTCCCAGTTCCCACCAGCTGCCTCTTGTCTTTGGGCCTTTTAATGGACCACCTCCCCCCTGCCTCTCCCTCATCGTCTGCCTGGCTCCTCCTCATCCTTCCGGTCTCCTCTTAGATGTCGCTTCCTCCAGGAAGCCCTCCTGAATCTGCCAGGACTGAGTTGGGGGCCTTCCCTCTGTCCCCCTGCAGCAGCCCGGGCTCCCCTTGGCCTCGTGGCTTCTCTCCCTACCACTCCGCTGTCTGGGCTGCCCGCAGCCTGCCAGCTTGCTCGGGGGTGGAACCCGGTGTTAATGCGGTGGTCAGAGTCCTCGGTCCTCCCGCACCAGCGCCGCTCTCTGGGCTGGGCAGCCGCTCGGCTGCTGCTGCCAACTGAATGGACGGGAGGCAGGAACCACACAGAGGGGTCTGGGACTCCCTCGGGGTTATGGAATCGGCACTGGAAGCCAGGCCCCGGCATCGGTCGGCATGTGCCCATTGCACGGACTGGTAAGTTGAGGTTGGTTAGCTCCACACCCAGGTGTTGGGCCCTTGGTGGCTTCAGGCTCTGCTGTGTGCAGTGGCAGGTAGAGAGATGCCCGGCTTCCAGGGGCCACCGTCAGGTCGGAGAGCAGGACAGAGTCACAAGTGCGAGTTGTGGCCGAGGGATGGCGGAAGCCCCGTCCGGAGCCCCCTTGGAGGATGCCGGCTCAAAGCACACTTGTCCGCATGCTCGTCCTACATGGCTGCATGTGAGAGGTGTCCGTGGGTCCGAGGGGCGTGGGGCGCAGGTCACAGGGAGCGTGGTCGCGGGGTCGGGTTTCTCCTGGAGCATCTGACTACCTACACAGACCCTGGTCTCCTTCCACTCCCGAGACCTTCCTTGTTGGGGAAGGACAGGGGCCCTGCCTCCCCGTCCACACACGAGGACAGCTGGTGCTCGGAGGGGCAGGCAGGGCGTCCCGCATCCACGCAGCCTGCAAGCTAACGGTGCGGAATTGTGCCCTTTATACACGTCCAGATCGATCTGGTGTGCTTACCACCCCCAAACCCCAAACCGAAACCAAACACACACACAAAACCGAACAAGAGCCACATGAGAGAGCACAGGACATTGTTGGAGGCGATGGGTGTGTTTAGTACCTTGATTGTGGTGATGGTGTCATGGGCGTATTCGTGGGTCCGAACGCATCAAAGTGGGTACCGTGAACAGGTGCATTTTCTCCCGTTTCAGTTCTATGTCAAAAAGCCTCAAGCATTAGAAAGAAGTAGAACACGAGGGGAAAGGACCACAGTGCTCACACTCCCAAGCACGCCGAGGGACGGTTTCAGAGGCAGGTTCTCGTGCCCCAAACCGGAGATCCATGGATGACTCCGAACTGTTGGGGTGTCTGGAGCCCGTCTGTATACCCTCAGAGTTTTCGGATGCAAGTGACGGAAAACCCAACTGGCTAGAGAAGACAGCAGTTTGACTCAAGACGGAGCGAGTCTTCATGAGCCTTGGTCCTGCAGCCTCAGATGATCAGGGCTGCCTCCCAGGTCTCCTGCGATTTTCTCCTTGTGGGACCAGGACTCCTTAAGCATGGGAGCCCCAGCACGGCCAGCCCCAAAGCTTGCCTGGTGGGGTCAGGACTGCAGGAAGCAAGAGAAGATGTCGGACACCATCTGCCATCAGGGAGATGCCGACTGGAACAATGAGACATCGGTGGGCACCTGTCGGGATGGCGGTCACACCAGTGTGGGCGAGGATGCCCTGAAGCCAACCGTCAACCCATGGCTGGTGGGAACACAGAATAGTATGGCCTCTATGGAAAACAGTGTGTCAGTTTTTTTAAAAAAACAAGGTGTGCAACGACCCTTCAGCCCAGCAAGCTGCGCTCCTGGGTGTTTCTCCCGGAGGAACAAACTCTTACGTTCCCATGGAAATCTGAATGTCGTTTTCATGGCCACTTTATTTGTAATGGTCCCGAGCTGGAATCAGCCCAACGTCCTCCGGCAGGCGGATGGGTGAGCAAACCGGCGCATCCACGCGAGGGGACACTTCTCAGCTGTGAGAAGGAAGGGACCGTCACGTCTTCAGACCCTCGCTGAAGACCCCCAGGCCCCCAAGTTTGCACGCTGCACCATCTCCTTGAGTGGCATTTACGGAACGACGAGATTGCCGAGACGGAGAACAGAGTGGTGGTGGCCGGGGCTGAGGCATGGTGGGGGATGGACGGAGGTGAGCGTGTTTTTCAACAGGTGCCAAGAGGGAGGATCCCGGCCCCCAGGCTCGACTGTGGGGTTGCCTATGCGGACCTCGGACATTGTGTAGAGTAACGCGCTCACGAAGAATGAGTCCAAGTGAAACAGGAGTCCGAACGAGGTCGGCGGGTTGTGTTGATGACGACGTCCTGGCCGCGATGTCATGGTTTTGTCAAGTGTTGTCACTGGGAAAACTGAATCACGCACACCCGGTTCCCTGCATTGTTGCCTCCAGTCGCCTGTGAATCTACAATTATCTAAATAAATTTTTTATTTTGGAGCGCTGAGTGTCTGGGGGTAGAACAGGAAGGCCAGGTGGTGCGGGGCCCCGGGCGGGGGCTGGGAGGATGGCCTGCCACGTCTTGATTTTCTTCCTTCTTCTTTCAACCTCTTTGTTGGTATCACATGACCACAGCTCTGACTTCGGCTTGAATACCTCCAGTGACGGCGTGCTCCCTACCTGACGGGCAGCCCCCTCTATTCCTGGGAAATTTTGCTCTTGGAGAGTCTTTTCTTAGGCAGAACAAAGAGACACTTCCCCTTCTCTTTCTGTTCTGCTCTCTGCTGTCCCACAGAGGAAGGCCCATTTTTCTCCCTCGAGACAGCATTCACGGGCTGAAAGATGGTGACGGGGACCCCCTCTGTCCGTCCAGCTCCCAAATAAGTATCTTTAGCTCCTGAATCATTTATGGGATGTAGTTATGAGAGTCTTTATCATTCTGGCTTGGTTCTTATAAATAAGTTATGTAGCTAAAACATCCCTTCTTCTGTATATAAAAATGTACCACAAAGGTTCTGTAATATCACTACAGAGAAGGGGTGTCCAAGGAAGGAGAAAAAAGTCATCAAAGTTCTCGCTTCTCACCCCGTTACAGTTCGTATTTTAGTATATTCTTTTCCGCCTTTCTCTCTGTCCAGTTTCTAAATCTGGATCCTTTTTACCACTTTCTGTTCCGCACATCCCATCAGAGCCGCTTTTCACGTGCCTCGGAGTCTTTGTAACCGTCCTTTTGGAAGGATGTGCGTTCTTCCATCTGTTGATGTTATTAAAATTTATTGACCCCCACGCGAGCTGTTGGCGATGCAGATTGCTTCCATTTTTGTGCTCTTAGAAGCAGTGCTGGGATGGACATTTTGGGGCACGCTGGGACATTTCTTGGACAAAAATGCTGGCGCGACACATCACGGCGTCTGAAGATTCAGATGTAGTTGTTTTCCTGCGTGTGGTCACTTTCCAGGGTGCTGGTGGGGCCCACGGCAGCAGAGCGCAAGCCTGGTAGCCCCTCGCCGGCAGAGGTCACTTCTGTCCATTAAGTCTCCCCCTCTTGTCCGCATTAAGGACACCTGTCATTGCATTTAGGGTCCCCCGGATAACGCAGGATGATCTCCCCGACTCAAGACCCTTCCCTGAATCACAGCTGCCCTTTCCCAAGTACAGCTCCACCTGCGGGGTCCGGGGATGAGGGCCTCACCTTTGGGGCTGTTGTCAGCCTGGTGCGTCCTCCACAGGGGCCGAGTCTCACTGTGTCTGACCCTCTTCTCTTTTCTCTAGTCTCCCCGCTGTGGGGTCCTGCTGGTGGGGGCGTGTCTTTCTGGCCGAGGTCTCCACCCAGTCCGTGACCGAGCACTCTCTGCCTGCTGCCGGCTCAGGCCCCGACGTCTCCCCTGAACAGCAGGTGTCCTCTCAAGTCCCCTTGGGCAGAGGTTTGCAGCACCTGAGACCAAGGCCCTGATGCCCCCGACCCTGCTCCTCCTGCCCCCTCCCCACCCCAGAGAACCCTCGTTCTGCACCCCAATCTCACTGTGTCTGACCCTCTTCTCTTTTCTCTAGTCTCCCCGCTGTGGGGTCCTGCTGGTGGGGGCGTGTCTTTCTGGCCGAGGTCTCCACCCAGTCCGTGACCGAGCACTCTCTGCCTGCTGCCGGCTCAGGCCCCGACGTCTCCCCTGAACAGCAGGTGTCCTCTCAAGTCCCCTTGGGCAGAGGTTTGCAGCACCTGAGACCAAGGCCCTGATGCCCCCGACCCTGCTCCTCCTGCCCCCTCCCCACCCCAGAGAACCCTCGTTCTGCACCCCAATCTCACTGTGTCTGACCCTCTTCTCTTTTCTCTAGTCTCCCCGCTGTGGGGTCCTGCTGGTGGGGGCGTGTCTTTCTGGCCGAGGTCTCCACCCAGTCCATGACCGAGCACTCTCTGCCTGCTGCCGGCTCAGGCCCCGACGTCTCCCCTGAACAGCAGGTGTCCTCTCAAGTCCCCTTGGGCAGAGGTTTGCAGCACCTGAGACCAAGGCCCTGATGCCCCCGACCCTGCTCCTCCTGCCCCCTCCCCACCCCAGAGAACCCTCGTTCTGCACCCCAAGCTGCCAGAAAGAAGGCGCCAAGCCCAGCAGACACGGGCGGGGACCTCCCCCTCTGGCCCACGCCTGCATTACCATCCCAGCCTGTGGTCCAGAGTGTTTGTGGACTCATCGAGGGAAGGCCCGTCATGGACGCTGGGAGCCGGGCACATTCCGGAGGGCCCCGGGCCCTTGGGCTTTGTCAAGGTGACATTAAAGGGAGCCGTGTGCACACGAGGGCCGGGGTTCCCGACCTGTCCACCACAAAGCCCTCCCGACAGAGGTGCAGGGCGGGGGTTCCTGCTGCAAAGCCTGGGACTAAAATCTCCTCCAGGTGGACTCCAGACCCACCGTGGCCTCCCACTCACTCGGCCACCACATCCTTCTCCTCACACTGTTCACGCGTTCTCCTGTCAAAGTCCCTGCTCGGTTTCAATTTCTTGCACTTTCAGAAATGTTTGGTTTCAGAATAATTCTAGACCCACAGGAAGTTGCCCAGACGTGTCCTGGTGGGTCCCGTGCACCCTTCACCCCTCTGTCCCCGGTATTGTCATCTTGCATGACATTCGTCCAGGATGAGAGCACACGTGTGGGTGCAGGCGTGTGGCTCTGTGCTCATGGCCGCATGGAAGACATGTAGCTGGACGCTCCCCGCAAGCCCCCTGAGCTGCCCATTTCCAAGCCCTAGACCCCTGCCCACCTTGGCTGCTCCCCGCGGGGAGGAAACTGGGAGAGGAAAGAGAGAAGACGCCTATGGACCTGTGACTAGCTCTCTGCGGCGGTTCAGAGGGCTTTGGCCAAGCAGAGGACCTAAAGGAGGTAAGTGGAGCAGGAGCTTTTGAAGGTGTGGGAACGGGGCGAGCCCCAGGGGCCCTCCTTGGTAAAGCCCCCCATTCTGTGCATCTGCAGCGGGAATCTCACACCATCTTTGTATGGCTCTTCTCCTTGGCTCGGGTTGCCCATACTCAAGATGTCAAGGGCTAGCTGCCTCAGAGATCCAGCCAAACCCGGGTAAACACGGCTCGTGTCAGTTCCCTGGACGAGAGCAAGTCCACTGGGACTCCACGTGGTGGCTGCGAGGCCAGGACAGCAAGGGGATGGGACAAGACCACCGGGAGGGCTTGGAGGACCTGCCTGCGCCCCATCCAGCAGGTGCAGTGACGGGAACTCATGTAAGTAGGGCGTGAACAAACCCCCCGGGATATACCACCGAATTCCAAAGAGAAGGATCTCCGGGCATCCCGGGAGCAAAATCAGGGCCCTTACAGCGGGAGAGGGGAGCGAGGTGGGCTCATCCTTGCCCACCGCAGCGGGGACGCGCTGGAGCCGGCCCAGAGAGGCTCGCAAGAGCCAGTTAGGAAATTTTCAGAAATTTCGCCAGCCAACTGACATCCTGTCGGTCGCTTGACATCGGCCTCGGTGGGAGTATTTATAACCACAGAAGCTGGCAAACGTTATATGGAAGGTCCTCCCCCGTGGAGGACTGTTAAGTACTTTGGGGAGCACGCCGAGGGCGCTCAGCCACGGAGTCAGCAGAGCCGTGCCTGCAAAGTGCCGAGGCGGAGGGTGCGCCCCGAGAAGGAAGGTTCCATAGATGCGTGTATTTTAAAAGGTTCTCATTTTATTTATTTTTAAAGGACTTAATTTTGGGGGAGCGCCTGGGTGGCCCAGTCGTTAAGTGTCTGCCTTCAGCTCAGGTCATGATCCCGGGGTCCTGGGATTGAGCCCCGCATCGGGCTGCCTGCTCGGCAGGAAGTCTGCTTCTCCCTCTCCTGCTGCCCCTCTCAATGCTCCCTCTCTTAAATAAACAAATAAAAAAGACTTAAAAAAAAGACTTAATTTTTCAGGGCAGATCTAGGTTGACAGGAGAGGGAGAGGTTGGTCCCAAGATTTCCAGATGCTTCATGCTCCCCCCGCACATGCAGCCTCCCCCACTACCAAGCTCCCCCCGAGCGGTGTCTTTGAACCGCTGGAGAACCCGCGCTGAAGGGTCAGCATCACCTGGAGTCTGTGGCTTATGCCGGGGCTCACGCTCGGTGGTGTGCGCTCTGTGTTTGGACAAATGCACAGTATCATGCAGAGCCATTTCCCTGCCTTAAAACTCCTCTGCCCTCCACCTGTTCATCCCTCCCTCCCTCCCTCCGGTCCTGGCAAACACTTGTCTTTTATTGTCTCCATGGTTGTGCTCTTTCCAGCACGTCATAT